ATATTATAAGCATTTATAAGTGTTTAACAAGCTTTTATATATAATAACTTTTATATATAACAAGCATGTAACATTTAATAAATGTCATAGGTGTACATTCACATTTTTTTGATTAATGAATCTATAGTTTTTTTGCCAGTTTTTCAAAGTAATTTTTTCTCAGCGAAAAAATGTTATAAATATAAAAGGGAATTTATCCCTCTATTTTTTTTCTCAATACTATATATATATATATATATATATATATATATATATATATATATACATTTGCAATTATAAAATATTAATAAATATAATGTGTTTTAAATTGCTTGAAAAATATTATTTCAACTTTTGAGAAATATTCTCTTTTCTTTTTATCTAATTATCTCATCGTTTAATTATCATTTATATTTTAAATCTCGGTTTATCAGAAAAGCTCTTTTTATTTTTAATTGTCAATTCATTGTTATTCGAAAATGTTCAAGTGTTTTACTTTTGATAGGAGAAAACTCACTTCCAAAATTGTCCAAGGAATTTGTAATACGATAAAAATTCAATATTCATCGATCTTATGTTCAGTCACGCTTTTGATTTACTGGTGAGAGCATACTAACGGAATTTAGGAAAGTCGTAGCAGCTGATTACGTTGGTCTAGTATAACTCTCCACTTTAAAGTTATGCCAACTGTTACGTGATATCACGTGACAGGCTTTCATAACCATCCTGATCCACCCATAAGAAGGTTTTTAGGCATCTTTAATGTTGTTAACAAAGCTAATAAATCAATTGCATATGCGGAACGTATTATCAGTTGTATGGTAATTGAAATTCGCTTTTACGAATCACGCGCTCATGAATGAAAATTTCACCATACATTGATGACGACATTGTTTGTAGACGATAACGTCTGTCAGATTATTCTCACATTACCACAATATCACAATTTTTCAGCTTATTGATCCCGTTATAAAAGTTATATACACTTGACGAAAATTACAAGCTGTAAAAATATTAAATATAATTATTAAATGTAATTATTAAATCTATTATATTAGAATCGAAATATTTATTATCGATTAAATCGTGCAAAAATAGAGAAAGGGCGATAACCCCAATAAAACGAATTGTTTTTTAAATTTATCATTATAAAAACCAATTTTACATTAATAACTGGTTTTATTAGCACCTACTTTTTTTCTTTTTTACGGACTCGTGATTTCCTTCGGCATTAGCCTTGACGTCGAATATACTCGAGAGAGGTAAAAGTCAAATGCAATGAACTTGCTTGTTGCAGTTACCAGCTAGTTATCCAGGAATGTAATAACTTGGCATGTACGTGTGTATAAAAATCGTTAGATACATAAAACACAATTATTGCTCAACATTATATATCCCTTACTTATATCGTTTTAAAACATTGAAACGACATCCGGAATTGTTTCGAAAGTAAAACAGTTTATTATATTGATGTAGATATCTTTCATCGCACATTTACATTGTTTATTAGTATTTGCAAGCGAGCTGTCATGTGGTATAAGCGCAATGTGTTATAAAATAAAAAAATATTACTACGCAGGAGAATATTTAGAAGAGATATAAATAACATTTGATTATATGTAAAAGTTAAAATTATAAATAAAAGTCTAGCGACATTTTCATTCGATCATCTAGAGTCTAATAAATATAAGTCTATTTTCATAATATAAGTCTATTCATAATATAAGTCTATTTTCATAAAAAAATTGATTTATAATTGAACATTACATGAAATTAACATAATTGAACATTACATAAAATTAACATATTGATTTATAATTGAATGTTACATGAAATTAACATAATTAAACATTACATAAAATTAACATATTGATTGCAAATAACATATGTATGCAAATGAAACAGATATTGTTTCGCAGGATCGATTTCCGTAAAAAAAGTGCTATATGTGAGCATCTTACTAAAAAAAATAGGGTAAAATAATTTAATGAATTATTTTAATTATGTAGTTAATTATTTTCAAACGTTTACACGTACAAATAACGTACAAGGCTACCGATCACTAGCGATCGGTCTATTACGCACATTTTTTATATACAGGTTGTTATTCACTTAGTGTGGCCTCAATTTATCCACCGATTAATATACGTATTTGCTAATGTAAGGAAAAGAGTCTCTATTTAACTATAAATACATATACGTTAAAATTTTAGATTTATATTGTAAAGTCAGTGATTACAATAATACATATTTCATGAAAATTTTGCTCTTAAATTCTTCGTAAGTTAAATGATAATTAAAAACGATATGATGAATATTGAGATTGTGTCTAAAATATTTCGATTATATGTTTTTTTATATTTATATTACAGTTCTAATTTATACGAATTTACGTTGTTTAAACTTAGATATTTGGTAGTTACATATAATATTATTTATATTTTATCTATTTATGTATTATTTATAGCATATTTATAGTTTATAGTTAGTGACATCGCATTTAATATAAGTTTTTTATATATTATGGAAATGAGAAAGAAAAAATGTATAACGTGTCATTGGAGCATTTCAAAACTATGTCATTTTATTATAAATATTAATAAGTATTGATTCCATTACATATTAATCATGTTTGATAGTTTCTTCATTGTAATTATTACGATAACATTACTAATCATTATTATTTTTATATGAGAAAAAACATTTTATATTTCTGTTCAAATTTCCTCGTATAGAAATATTTGTGTTAAATTTTTAACATACTCTTATGTTAATGTAACATATTGTTGTTGTGTTATTTGGACTTTTCTTCTGTTGAGTTAATATTCACCGTTTTTAATAGTTGAAACAACACAATTAATGTGTAAATATTTTATATGTTAAAGTGAACAGATAAATTGTGTTATTTTTCTCTCTACAAGAGATGTCGATCTAACAGTTTTCATCTAACTGTTAGATCGACATCTCTTATGTTATTTATCATAAAGAGGTAAAAAAAGAACATTCTAAAAGAACAACTTCTTTAAACAACTACTTTATATACACATACATATACATAAATATGTGTTTTATTTCAATCGCTCCAGGCAAACATCTCAAAAGAGGAAAAATATTAAAGAATTTATTTGTGTGTGGCCTTATTTGTCTAAATTGGTCTAATAATAAATTTTGAATTCATACTTATGTGCTTTTCCTTTGTATGCGTTTCACGTTTAATATGACAATATTCATTTATTTAGCTTGACTGATTCACTTTTACCAATTAAAAACATACTTCACTTATTTGGTAAATCTTACCGCATGATTTTTATTTTTATATCGCCATCATCAACTCAGAGTTTCGCGATAAAGACTCAGGAGCCTTAATGAAAACTTTGAAATTAAAATTTAATAAATTTTAATCAATAAATTAAAACTTCTGTCTGTGCATTTATGCTGACATCATCCATCTGTTTTGTACGCATAAATATAATAAACTGTGGGTAATACGTTATGAAATTATGGTAAATAAAAGATAAGTTTTTATAATAGGCATTAAATTAAGAATATTTCAATTATGCGAATATTACATGGCCGATTATATTTAATGAAACAATATATTGAATACCAAGAAATTTGATAACGAAAGAGGACATCGTTATGTACAGAGCAAAGGAATGCTGTCGTTCCATAGCTTTTGAAGTCGATGGGAAACGTAAAGTGTTTGTGAGAGCATCTAACATTCCATCGCTACGAAAATAGTCATGGGAAAGATAGGTTTAGTCAATGCTTCATAATTAATAGCGCTTAGATTTCATCATAAGCAACTGTAATGTTTTCTGTTTGAAATATTTTGAAAAATCGTTGAAAAAGTATAAAGATGTAAATATACAAAATTATATAATTATAAATTATATTATAATTATAAATATATTATAATTATAAATTATATTATATGGAATTTGATAATTTTACATCATATCTAAAAATACTATTCTATACATATTTAAAATTTACTATTTTTCTAATATACATATGCCTATTCTTCTTATTTAAAAACATGCATAACTTATATAATCATAAATTGATAATCATAAAATATTGAATTATAATATATAATTTATAAATAATTATAAATTTAATTAATATTAATTTTTTTTCTATAAAGTTATTGCAAAAAAGGAAAATTATACAAACATTTTTTATTTATTATTTAATTAAAACTTATACTTTGGAATATTAATCGATAATATTTATCATCGCTTTGCGGCAAAATAATACGCAATTAAAGAATTTTAATTAGCGTTGTTTTTTCCCTAGTAGTAAGAGCTATGACGTGGCGGACATGTTGCAAGAGTAGTAATTGCTCGAATAAGGTCAGACCAGCGACAGTAGTAAGTCACGCGTTGCATCCGACTTATACCGAGAAAGAGAGAGAGATCTCTCTATTCTTACGTGCAATATTACGCATTAAATAATTTCATAATAAGCTTATCGTTTTATTTTACTATTTGATTTATTTAATAAATTACTTTATTTTTCTTATGATAAATAAATAATTAATTATTATAAGATTAAAAGCGAATTTAGAGAAGCAAATTAAATACGAATATTTTATTTAAACGACAATTTAATACTTTTAATTCTTCTTACATTTTTACTATTTCATATTGGTTTTTATCGAATAAAAGTCTTAAATATTGTAATATATTATACAATATTATGTATTCTTTTTTTATAAAAGGTAAAGATAATTCGGTAATTACTTCGCTAATTCTTATACTTAAATAAAAAATATACTCTTTCTTCTCTTTTGTCTCTTAAAATGTAATCAAATAAAATTTAAATAAATTATATTACAACTATAAGTAAAAAGATATCAGTAATATGTACACGGTTCTAAGAATATTTGATAGTCATGTTTGAAACTGGGATATAGTAAATATTTGTGGTATTACGTAGTTAATTTTTTACTGCATAATATAAGTTTATGGTCAATATTTGACGTAATACAGAGAACTTTCTTCTTTTTCCATTTGCAGAACAAAACGAACACGCGAGACAGCAGGATAGGTCTCGCGAGGGCAACGAGTACTATGCAAACGCAGATGCCTGGATCTTTGCCCGATTACCAAATCGATCCTTACAGACTTGCAGAGGATGACCTTAAGGATATGTTCGACGACATACGACTGGTAAATCGTTTTACTATTATTATTTTTCAAATCGCATCTGAGAAATCGTAGGATTTATTCCAGTTTTTTTGGGAGGACCAAATTTATAATAAATAGAATGTAAAACATTTTTTTGAATCTGTAAATTGTTAATATATTTTAAAAAATGGATAATGGAAATGAAAAATTTAGTCTTCTTAATAACGCTTAACTATTATAACTTACATTTAAATTATAATTAGATTATTATTATCCACTCAAATCCGTGCATATAAAATGGTTATCTTTTTTGTTTTTAATCATAATCTGATCAAATCTCGTAAAGATAAATTATTTATCCTTCTTGAAGGCATTCCCAATGCAAGAATTATAATTACGTAATAAATTAGAGTTTTTTTCTCTTGATGCATAAGTTTAACGAATATTGAAATAAATATAGTAATTACGCAAAGTCGACAATATGCCATCTGACGAATGGTAATACGTGAATTCATTACATAAAAGAAGCTGAAGGCTATTAATCCCTATTTCGTATAAGGCGGCGATTGTCGTTTATATATACAACCTCGAGAAACTTTCGGGAAGTAAGAGCATACCGTCTTAACAGCTATTTATGTAATTGACTTCATCGATATTACGTATGCGCTGTATTATGAAATCGTGCCGGCCAGTGTACAACGAACCCAGCGATGCGGTACAAACGTGTATATCAAAAAGATGTAATTAGAAAAGAAATGCGTGTATTCGAATTGCTTTTTGATTTCACATGCGATTCCGCTAATTCCTCATTCCTTGATCCAGAATAAAACGTGATTAGATTTAAATTGAGTGGGTGATATCTTCAGCTCAATATTTTTACATAATGCCGCGAAATTAAGATCAAATGTAAGATAAAATGCTTTTTTTATTTCTAACATAAATATACTTTTACTTGTTTTCTTAAGATTTTAAAATTTCAAATGGCGCAAGGAATTTTTTAAAATAATTTATTTAAATTTTCTTATTATATCATATGTCATATATTGCTTCAAAATTAAAAATTTTTTATTTTAAATCTTAAGTAAGCTATTTTTTTAAATCATTATTATTAATTATTTTTAATAAACTAGATATTTATTATTAGATCATTTTGATAATTTTTTTATATTTGTGCCTCACAGAATCTTTTTTTTTTGAAAATCTAGATTTCTTACATTAAATTTAAATATTTAGAAAAATCTTAATATTTCCAGAATCACATATAAATTCAGTCATTCAACATTAATAATATTCTTAAATTATCTTAATATCGACAGTAGACTAATCAAAAGATCATTGGAAATAATATAATCGACTAAAACTAGTCAAAATTCTTGTTTATTAATTTAAAAAATTTTTTACGACGTTTCGACCATATGGTTGTGGTCCTTTTCATTTTATTAAAGTATTTAGTTTCTTTGCAATTTACAAAATTAAGATTTATATAAGATTTACATTGAACTGTCTGTACTCAAATTGTTCACAGTTAATCTATGTGGTGTTATCTATTCAAACCATCGAAAATCTAATTATCAATTTTATTATTTCAATGTATACTTGAAAAGGACCACAACCATAAGGTCGAAACGTCATAAAAAATTTTTTAAATAAATAAAGAATTTTGGCTAATTTTGGTCGATTATATTATTTCCAATGATCCATTAATAATATTTTTCTTGTTAATATTATTCCTGATTAAGAATCGGGCGTTATTCATAAAGAATCTTATTTCTATAACGACAAACACACAATTATTAAAAAACATGTTTATAGATATTAATGAAGAGCCATACAATTTTTACGTGACTGCGTCTTTATTTAATGCGTTTTAGCGAAAGCAGCTGGAATTTCATGGTCTGTGTGTGGTCGAGAAGAGGACTTTTACTTGCAATCGCCGTCTATCGTACGATATAGTGTGAAATTTGCACGATCTATGAAAAAGAAAGTATTCTATTAGATTGTTATCTATTAAATTAAAACAAAAATATCTGCATCCTCTTATCATTTTAAGATTATTTAATCCGCCGTCTATCGTACGATATAGTGAAATTTGCACGATCTATGAAAAAGAAAGTATTCTATTAGATTGTTATCTATTAAATTAAAACAAAAATATCTGCATCCTCTTATCATTTTAAGATTATTTAATCCTAGGAAGGTTTAGTTTTTGACATTTGTAGAAAATTAATTATTTATTTTATATAAACATCACTAGAATATGCGCAAGCAAGCGGAATAATATTTTTGTATAGGGCCTAGGTTATAAAGAAAGAATGCAACTCATTGATTTTGGTCATCTTTTATGAGCATGAAGTAATTGAATCATGTAACCAACTTTATAAACGAGATGGCACGCTTCTCAAGTATTGCAGAGAAATTTGACCGCAAAAAGTCTTAACATAATGTTCGAATATTCATCTGCGACTGTCATTAAGAAACGCAGTATAGCTAATATATAGGCTTTTGTCTCTAAATTATAAATGTGTGTTATCAAAATCGATTATTTTATATTTATATCCTTATACACAAAATATTCCGTGATGATACAACTGATGATACAATTAGGAAGATAATATTTCTATGTAGAAAAAATAAATCGAAAATATAAAAGTAAATTTTTTTCCAAGGCTTTATTTTCCGACATTAAAATTTGAAAAATTAATAATATATTTACACTTTTTGAAGCTTGAATAATGTCTTTATATGATATACAGTCTTCAACTATTAGTCTTGTATGAAAAAAAATTATTTTACATTATATTTTGCTCTTATTCTTTTTTTTATGTAGAATAAAATTTTTCGCGATTATATCAGCAATTAAAAGCACTCTATGCATTTTTATTATTGTAACCAGAGAGTATAATAGTGCACATCGATTAACAATACAAAATAACAATACAAAATAAGATCCTGAATTCAGTTCTCAATTTGTCAATTAAATCATTTGCTCCCGATATTCTTAAAAATATAAATAATATGAGAAAATATTGTAGATATTAATCTTGATGGAATAAAAGAAATTGCATTTAAATTAGAATTTCGAGCGTTATTTGATTTGAAGAAAGTTAGAGAAATCGAAATATCACATATATAAATTATTATTATAGCATTAATATTTAAACAATATTGCATTTTCTCAGATTCGATTTCCGGTTGTGTGAGAAATGCGCTGACAAAAAAACGATAACGACGTCAAAATTGAAATCGATCGTTCTTTTCGACTTTGGCCAAATTCCAGAACAAACTTTCAGTCTGTGTCGTGTCTGGAATTTAAAGTGGCTCGACTCTAATCGGCGAAATCCTGTCTTGTTCATTGCAACGAAGATAGTTGACGCATATTTAATTCACAAAAATTCCAATACCGTTTCGAAAAGACAAAAGCTGAGGTTTCTCTTCCGGTTTGTGCATGTCGTTTCTCGAAGTTGTGGGAAAAAATTTATGAAAATGTCTCACGAGCGATTAATATCATATCTAATAATATTGCCTGTTCAGTAATAGACTGACAAGAATTGGCATTCATGCCAATACTTCTCATTAAAAATTGACATAATTTTTTCATAATAATTTCTAAGACATTTCCAATCTAGAAAATATGAGATTTAGCGAATAGTTTATATCAAATAAAAATTATGTAAGATATCCCAGAGCACTATATGCAAGCGCTTGTGAGAAGAGAGCACAATAAATTGAACTAAAAAGTCCCATACGCTTTACGATTTCCACAATAATACAAGTCTGTGAATCTTTTTCTATTGATATCGAAAGCTTGAACATGTTTACATGTATGTTATTATATTTCAGGAACTTATCACCAATACTACACAAGAAGAGCTGCAACCCATAAGCACATATTACTTGGATGGCCAAGGAAAAGCTATACGACCCATACTCACTATACTCATGGCACGAGCTATTAATTATCACAAGGGAAGGAAGTAAGTGAATACAAATATTTCTATAAACATTTCTGAAATTTTTATTAAGAAAGAATTTTTATATCAAAGTATCAATCAACAATCGCACGCTTATATAATCACAAAGAAATGCAAAAAAATATAATTGTGTTCCTTCTTCTCGAAAGAGCATTTATTTATTTATTATTGGAAATATTAAAAGAAATGAATTATAGAAGACAACTAGTTGCACACACGATACATTATGAATTTACAAACACAACACAAAAAATCGCAAATAATACATATTTATAGAGATATGAGATTTATAAAAGTGAGATTTATAGAAGTGATTTTTTTTTATTCTTACGACTCCTGACAAGCTCTTCGTTATTTTATTGTGCGCATAATGTCAGTAATTCATCAGTCCATTTCAATCATCTATAAATTTTATAAGTAACTTTCAAGGTCTGGATTATGGAAATTTTTATAAAATTTATAAATGTACAAAAAGACGAGTTACAAAATATACATTGTATATGTGTGCTACACAATCTTAACTTAACATTAAAATAGCGTTAAAAAATATAACAGAAATTGTAATACTTTTTTATTTCGTTATTTCAAATTATTTTTATAGTAATATTTTTCCAGTCCTAATTAATTAATTATATTTAATGGATATAACGATAATATGGTTATAACGATTTTGCGGAAATGGCTCTACAAGGGGCTTTTTCAAAGAAACTTTTGCTTTTTTTTCCAGCGTTCTCTCGCATTCGCAACGACAAATAGCGATGATTTCTGAGATGATCCACAGCTCCTCTTTATTGCATGACGATGTGATCGATCAATCGGACATCCGTCGAGGCAAACCGTCAGTTAATGTCGTCTGGAGTCAAAAGAAGGTTCGATAAATTCGATCTTTTGATTCTTTCGATCTCTTGATTCAAAGATTCAATCGATATTATTCTTTATTATACGAAATTATTTTTTATAAACTTTTTACCAAAGATTGATATCGCACAAAAATATATAAGTATAAATGTCAACATTTTTGCTATCTTTTCTTTATTCAGAAGAAGATTCATATTTAATCGCACACATCATAATCACTCATAAATATAAATATATATATTTACATATAAAATATATTCTATATTTTTTGTCTCTTATATAATCTTCACAGAAAAAATAATGAGAAGAATAATTTAAAAATATTTAAAAGAATGTTTTTCACAGTTTTTTTTAGAAAAAATTTAAATTGGAGGAAATGAAAAAAATTGCCTAAATATAATTATATACAAGATATAAATTATGCATAGAATATTGTATAATCTAGCTGCAAGTTTATTTTTGTACAAAAAATTGCAAAAAATTATTCTTTAAGTTTTTTTTTATTTATTTATCATTTATTTATCATTATTCTTTTTATTATTATAATATTTTGCATAAACAGCGAGTATATAAGAGAAAGAGAACATATTCTACATATATAATTATATATATGTAGATATATACATGATTGCGTGTGGATTTTTTTCATAAAACTATTTCTTCGGTGTTTTCTTCATCTTTTTTTTCATTAAAATTTTATCGAGAGCGGCTACTACACAACGGTCAGTATAGTGACGACGACGAGAACTCTCTCTTTAAAATATCGAAGAAAGAAGGAGGCTAATGCGATTCATGGCTGGGCATCGACCGCGCGCGTGCTTTCTAGATTTGGAGGCAGATTTTTGATCTCCACCTGTTGCGTGAACGTCGGAAAACTCGGAAGAATCGAAAGGAGAATATCGATTGAGGATCGCCCGTTTGACAGATGATACAACGAACAATATAACACTCTTTCGAAAGCGACGAGTCGATCGACTTGCTAAAATTACATATATTAGAAATCGACAGTTGGAACGCGCGACAGTGGGCGACGTGCGACACGTGATCGAAAAATTTAACTCTCAAACGCATAGGAGTTAATATACGCACTTTCGCAATCGGCCGGAACGGCCTGAATTTCATTCGCGCTTTTCCTTATACGACGACCACTTGCCGCGTTTCTAATGCTTATTAATTAGCTTTCAATCGGCGTCGCGAAAATGATTGAATTGCATTCACTATCGACGTTATACAAGCGTCCATGCAATGGCAAGTGAAACGAGAGTGCGATCGAAGACTAGGTGCTAGGTCAAGAACGCGAAAAAGCGCATTAATACACGTGCGCAAGTACGCACGTAAACATACTTGCAGAAAAGCGTCCGTTCCTTTTCTGCCTTTCATATACAAAGTTTCTCGTAAGTCATTCTTTTCTTCTCGATAGAATTGCAAATACTTCGCAGAAAATATCTTTTTATCTGGTAAACAAAATATTACATTTATTGATAACTCGAGAGTAGAAAATACAAAAATACTGTGACGACATATTATTTTTTGCATATGAATTCTGTCATCTAATTGAAAGTTTGAAAAGTATAATATCTGTCCTTTTGTTTTTTATTTTTCATATACAAATTATCTCATCCATTTTTTTCTCAATAGAATAAATTTAATATAAAAAAGATCTGTTTCTAATAAAAAATATTACGTCTATTTATAATTGAGGAAAAATATAAAAGTTGACGTACTGCTTTTTGTTTACGTATAAATTTCAATACCTAGTTGAAAGTTTAAAATATGAATTTGTACTTACAGATATTTACTAAAGACTGCACTTGCTTGTCGGATTGCATTACAATTTCAATAATATTATTTTTTAGCAAATAATTTGTTTACGAAAGCTGAAGAAAATTAAGTCTGAAAAATTAATCTCAAAAGCCGATAAATCGATATATATATATATATATATATATATATATATATATATATATATAATTAAATATATATCCAATAAATATTTGTAGAATTTAAAATGAACATTTATTACATTTTTTCTTATTAATTTGTAAGAATAAACACTTTAGAAAAAAAAACATTTTTTTATCTTATAAATAAAATTTTTTAAACAATGCATTTTCGTATGAAATATTCATAAAGAATAGATACAAATAAATTTTTTTCAAGTTCTTTGAATTGGCACTTTAAAGTAAAATATTAGATTATATCGATATAGATAAAATACAAAATTTCAAATATTGTTTCTAAAATATATTTTTTGTCAGTCACTTAATTATTTTTCAATGAATATTCTATTATTCGTTTTAGATAACTTAATAAAAAAGTTAGTATGCATGGAGATTTAAACTTTTTTAAAGTAATTTTTACAAAATTCATGAATAATTCTATTAGTTTGAGTTTTTTTGTTTTTTTTTGGTTTGAAAATATACATTGTGTGTGTGGCTCAGATAATTAAATAGTCAACCTTTTGTCACAAATAAAGATCTTAAAGATGAATAATCTCCGAATAAAATTTACTCATTCAATGGACTATTAAATTTAATTTGTCATTGTTAAATAACTTAATAAAAAAGTTAGTATGCATGGAGATTTAAACTTTTTTAAGGTAACTTTTTAAGATAACTTTTTAAGGTAACTTTTTTAAGGTTTTCTTTTTGTTTGAAAATATACATCGTGTGTGTGTGAAGCTCAGATAATTAAATAGTCAACCTTTGGTCACAAATAAATCTTAAAGATGAATAATCTCTGAATAAAATTTACTCGTTCAATGGACTATTAAATTTAATTTGTCGCTAAGAAAAAATAAAAGAAGGTCATTGCAAGGCTTTGCAGATCGTGTTGTACGAAAGATATTGATGTTTTCTTTTCTATCTCTCCGATTTCCACACTGATGTTATGAGTTTATAGTCCTGGGACTTGTCACTTTAATGCATTTAACTCGATACTCTGTTGAGACTGTTGAGACATGTGGATATCTCGATGCATATCGCGTCGTTGCAACGACGTTGTGAAACACAACGATGTCTTGTAACGACAGCATTACTTCGATATTTCGATAAAATGTATAAATACGAGAAACAGTGGATTTATTCTATGAGGGATTGATTCTAGCGAAGATAAAATCAAGAAATGATAAAAAAACAACGCATTTTGCATCTATCGTCGAGGATTAGAAATGAAGATGATGTGAGAACGAGTTGGGCCGAGTGAAGATCGGACGATGCAATGTATTGCAATTTGCATAATTGAATCCTGAAATAACACGCGTGTAAATATTATGAGGGAGTCGCAAAAGTGTGACAACCTTGACGCATGATGGAATTAGCGCCTTCCAGAGAAATGGAAAGTCCGACGAGAGTCGCCGAAAGTCGCGAGGCTGCCGTCAGCTATATCTTCGCCGCCGAGGATGGTGCAGATATAGCTGAACTAATGAATTGTGCAATAATTCGCTCGTATATTAACATACCGCTAATCGAGGGAACTCTTGCCAAGGTGTATGCAATAATTATCTTTAAGTTACACCTATCAGTAACGAGATTACGTGCTTGTAAAACGTGACTCTTCGTATGTAAGTCATCGCAAAGCAAGTGCAAGACTCGAATTGACGAGAATATTGCCTAATGATAAATAAAGGAATACAATACTCGCATTGATAATTAAAAGAAACAATATTATTTTAATGTAGTAAGAAACTAAATAAATATATTAATTATGACATTAATATATATATTTTATATCAATTACAGTATATCTTATAATCATATATTATATTATAATGATATATTTAATTTAACGATCATATATTATATTATTATGATATATTTAATTTAACGATTATTATAATATAATATAACGATAACAAAATTAGAAATGTTTTCTATTTTTCACCCATTCAAATAAATTGCAAGCACGTACTCGCGAAATAGATGCTTTCCTATACTTGATGCGTGCTAAAGACTTATTTCTTACTCCTCATTTCATTAAACGATACAACAAATGCTTCGCAACACGCAATGACGAGACCATATTCCAGGTTCTAGAAGCCTATTCTCCAAGTTGTTTCCCCGGAGAGAGATAATATTAGTCGGAATTAATGTTTCCCGCCGGTGGACCGCTACTTTCCGCGCTGATTCATGCTCGTTTAGCGAAACGTCGCTTCGGGATAATTGCAAGAAAGTACATACGCGCCGGAACAGCTCCCGCTCAGAGGAAAACCCTGCCCACAGGTGTCTTTCGGTTATATTCGCGACTAGGATGCGTGAAAATAAAGGCGACGCGTAGACGATGCCGGATGTGAAACTCGAAATTACGAGCCGTTGAGTCACTTGAGCCATTGTCGACTCACGAAACGATCTTCCTTCTATCGTTTTACCCGACCAAAACAACGTCATTATCACGACAAAAGTTTTTTCTCATATCTCTTTTTACACGAAAATTCCGATATCACCGGATACACTCTTCCGTTACAGGAATCTTTGACCAGAGAGATTTTTCCTCGAGCATCGATCTATGGTTTTTCGATTAATCTAATTTCAGCATCGATATTTTAATATATTTCGACATTTTTTCGTAAAAATCATAGCAATATCGTATTTTTAGAAGGCTATTTATTTTTGTAGAGTGAAAGTCTGAGATGATCAAAATAGAAATGCACGTGTGCATAAAGTTTTATAGGAGAATGTATATAAGATCGACGAATTAAATTGCACGAAGAATGGAAAGTGGCGCAATGTATGTTGATTTTAAAATTCGATGTATGAGGAAATTTAGAAATCAACATTGTGTATGACATACAATAGACCGCGGTCATTAAGAGTCGTCGAGGTGTTGCGGTTTTGATGGCGTCGCTCGTTATAGACAATATGTTTATCAGCAATTTCCGACGAAGCCCAAGACCGCAAGACCGAGATACCAAAACTGTGCGAATGCGAAAATGTCGATCTGCATTCTGTAATATTTATCGTAGAAGTTGTACTGTATCTTTGTATCTTGAATAATAACGGTAACATCGATCATTTTGCCCTCTAGGTGGCTATGGCGGGGGATTATATCTTGGCGGTTGCCTGTCGGATGCTCTCCAGACTCCAAAATGACGAAGTAACCATCACCATCAGTCAGGTAAATTATTTTATCGCACTTTCAAGTCTTCTCTTAAATCTATGCTCTTTGCTTCTATTGATGGTAGGATTCTTGATTTACAATTGGCGAAAAACCAATTTGAATTGATGCACGCTATAACAACTTATAGAAAACATTCTGACAAATAAAGCTTTTAAAGCACGCAAAAATCTCGCGCTAAATTTCTTCGGCTAATTTTAAATCATTCAAATAAAAATAGGATATACAGTACCGATCCAAAATATTACATTAGGAAAGTCATTATTCTGTTGAATAAAAATATGAGTATTATCAAATTATATTTTATTGCTATTATTTATGTTGTGCTCTAATTTTATATTTTAATAATTTTATGAATATGAACAAAACTAGAGGAAAAAAGAATAAAAAAACTTATTCATTTATTTGCGTTTTCTATATTTTTAAAGAATGATGCAATGTTTTTATAAGTATCTATTGTATTGTAACATTTAATAAAATTCACACCTTGCAGATTTTTTGTATATTTTATCATGTTATTATCCTTTTATTTTCGTCTCCTCAAAGGATGCCATAAAATTATGTAACTAAGATAACTCAGGTATTGACGAACGCAATGTCTAAAGCAGATTATATTACTTCGTAGATAGTGACTGACTTGGTGCAAGGAGAATTTATGCAGCTCGGCTCGAAAGAAACGGAAAACGAAAGGTTCGCCCATTATCTTACAAAGACGTATCGAAAAACGGCGAGTTTAATCGCCAATTGCTCCAAAGCGGTAAGCCTCATCGCTTGATAAATGAATTGCCGTTTACATGATTGTTTACAAATGATTTTTAACTGATGTCATTTCAGGTTGCTATACTTGCCGAAGTCGACGATCACATGATAGAGATGGCTTTCCAATATGGCAGGAATGTAGGCTTGGCATTTCAATTGGTAGACGATCTTTTGGACTTTGTTGCTTCTTCAGAAGCTCTAGGAAAACCCACGGCCGCTGATCTTAAACTTGGATTAGCGACAGCCCCGGTACTCTTCGCTTGCGAACGGGTCAGTAAATCATATTATCGATCGTATTATCGATAAAGATTTTCAACGTCAGAATATACAATGTCACGATCTTAATCGGTTACTCTTCGATTATTTGGACTGTTGCAGTACCCAGAATTAAATGCGATGATTATGCGCCGTTTCCAAGAACACGGCGACGTCAAGAGAGCTTTCGAATTGGTACACAAGTCCAACGGTCTCGAACAAACAAGATTCTTGGCGAAGAAACATTGCGCGGAGGCCAATAAGATCGTACAGTCTTTTGCTAAGAGCCCTTATCAAAAGGCTCTTATCATTATGGCTGATTTGGTCATCAATCGTATGAAATAGCATTGTCAAGAAGGAAAATTTAGAACTGAGAGATTTATAATTTGGAAAGGGTGGGGGGGGAAATCGATTTTATAATTATTTATATAATTATGGTGGGAGATAAAATGGCTAGAAAGCTAACTTTTTCCTCAAATTTTATAAATCGAGTATATTCGAAGACCGCATTGAAAATTTTTCTTATTCAATATTATATCACTAGCCGGGATTATATATATGAGTGACATTACCTGTGAATTTCCATAAAATATGGTTAAGTAAGAGGAAATTAGTTTTGTATTGCATAACGATGGTGTAAAGTTGATGTGCAATTGATAATGATAAGTCGATATCATTGCCGTCCCTAAACTCATACCTCATCCGAGAAAGAAAAACCGGGGACGTAGAGTGTGGGGAGAAGCGTCCCACGCCGCATATTATGTAATCACTAAAGTATTTCTGTCTTTTTCAGAGGACTTTATTGACGCGTGGATTTAGTTGTCTGGAAAAATGCAGAAAGTGTATTTCATAACAAAGTGCCTAGTTATATAATATTCGTTTGATCTATGAAGAAGGATAATACATATTACCTGATTTTATGAATCGCATTAGCCGATCATAAACATAATGTAAATAAAATTTAGATTTTAATGGTAATGTATTAGCATTGATAATCTTTTTTTTTTGAGCTTCTTTTATGCATGCATTTTTCATCATGATTATATCTGATCCTCGAAAAAAAATGATAATGCACAAAATTAAATTGCTCTATCTTAAAAATTTAATAAGAATTGTTTATTAAATACATCAGAAAAATCGTTTGCATCAAAGGAGTCTTAATGACAATTTATCGTAACAGATATGTAAAGCAAAACAAATTAAAAGTTTGAAAAAAACATACATGTGTAATAATAGCAGACGTATAGAATTAACATTATAATATAACATTATTTTGATCTATATTATGATCGATGATTAGATTCTCAGCGAGTATGTATTTTTGATAAAGTCGAACGTACAACTTTTTTGAAGAAATGAATAAAAAATTAATAAACGTATAAAATTAAATAATAAGAAGAAGAATTCCAATATTTTAATTTTCATTGACAGTTTAATTTGAAATTTTGCTGAAAACGATGCGAAGAATATTTGCCAAAGAAGACAAGTCAGTCTTACATTTCTCTCGTAAACCGGTTTAGCAAAAAACTAACTTTGGTCTGTCATAATAATAAAATATATCTGTCTCTTCATAAGTTAGAATGCATTGCGATTCGCGTGATAATGGAAAAATAAATTAAAATTATCTTTGTTTGAATATCGATTATGAAAACAAAATCATCTTTGTCAGATCCATTTCACTAAATAAGTGAAATCGCTCAAAATATATCACTTATTAATTGATATATAAGTATAAATGTGTCTAATGTACAATAATTTATATTTATGAGAAGAATTAATGTATATATATATAGAATTCATAATATTACAGAATATAATAAATCATTAACTGATGAATAAGCACATGTAATTATGATCAAATATAGATTTATAATAGCGTATATAAATGTAACAACAAAGAAAGAAAACACAAGCCAATTTCCACCATGTAATTTTTGTAATATGTATTAAAAATATTTAAATTTTATCAATAAAAAACAGTTTGTTTTCAATATAGTATACATATATAAAAATATAATGAAATATTTAAAAATGAAGAGACATATTCCTGAGTTGATAATTTATTTAAGACAAGTGTAAATTATTTTTACATATTGGACTTTTTAAGACCATACACATATATATATATCTTAGTATATTTTATTTTTAAATTAAAAAATATAAAATATAAAAAGGTTTAGTACAAAAGTTACAATTTTAATAAAATCTAAATGTGAAAGAACAAATTAATTTTACAAATTTATTCTTAAAAAATCAATAAACAAATGATAAGAAGATAACTGTATTATCTCCGCTTTTTTTCGAACTATTTTTCGACATCACGCATAGATGTCGCTCTCGACGAAATGATTTAAATCGTTTGTGTGCATTTGATGCAACGCGCGAAAAATTAGTCGCGTCGTCCTTTGGTTTGTCGATAGAGAAAAATTTTCAGTGACCCGTCGCAGATTCGCCGTCATGGCGAGTTTATTGGATTTGTGCGAGCGATATTTCGGCGCCCGTAATTTTTATGACGTGTTGAAGATATCGAAAAGCGCGAATGACAAGCAGGGTAAGCCAGCGTTTGTTTTAACCTCTAAATTTGGATTTTGGATTCCGGATTGTTTACCTCGCTCTTTATAATAACAATATTATTTCTCGTCCCATCAGTGAAGAAAGCTTATCACAAACTATCATTACTCGTTCATCCGGATCGGGTCGAGGAAAGTATCAAAGCTGAAGCAACAGAGAAGTTCAAAGTCCTGGGTAGAATACATTCCATTCTCAGTGACAATGAGAAACGCAAAGTTTACGACGAATCCGGACAATACGACGAGGAAAGCGAAGAGATCGTCATGCGCAATTGGGCGGACTATTGGAGGTCCTTGTTTAAAGAAATCACTGTCGAAGATATTAATAATTACGAGAAGAATTACAAGGGATCGGAGACAGAGATCAAAGATCTTAAAAGGGCATATATAGATAGTAAGTCATTATAATATTGATATTATGATATATTATAATATTATTATTATCATATTATATCGATATATACTTATATAATTGCATTAATTCTAGGCAAGGGAGATATGGATTATATTTTGGAAGCTGTTCCATTTACAAATTGCGACGAAGAGCCAAGACTACATGCTATAATTGAAGATCTGATTAAGAGTGGTGAGGTTCCAGAATATAAAGCTTTCACTAATGAGAATGACAAGAAAAAGCAGCGCAGGAAAAGAAAGGTATGATATACTAATTTGCTGAAAGAAAATATCAAGGAAATATTAAGAGAAAATTATATATCATGACAAAATTATAAAAATTACTTTTATATACATCTTATTTTTTTATATATTTTATTCTTCATTAAATTATTTCGTGATATTTTTTATATTACAAAGTCTTGCATTCACGTTTGTGGCAAGAAGCAAAAGGTCAATTAGAAATATAAATGCATAAATGTTTGTGAAAATTGCTAAGATGATAATGTAAAAGGAATGTTATACTTTAATTTGCTTAAATTTTATGTGAACAGTTAAATTTTAAAAAATATCCATAAAGAAAATATAATAGTATCTTGGAAATAAGTATATCTAGTATAATAATCTTACAAGTAAAAGAGATTATTATATTTATTTACTTATTATATTTTATCAATTACAAAAAGAATTTAATCTTTTCGGAAATAATTAATCATTTATTTTGCTCCTTAATTTATTTATTAAATATAATTATTTTGTCAAAAGAAATAGAAATCTATTGAACATAAAAGATCTATTGAACATAAAAGATATTATGGCAATCATCAATTTGACTTTTTTAAATATTTTATATTTATTAAATTTACCATCTCATGAAATATTTATCATCTCATGAATAGTAAATATTTTTCGAATCGAATATATTGTAACATAAAAGACATCAAATTAAAAAAGACATCAAATTACTGCAAAACATTATCACACGTATTTTTTCCCACGTTTATACATTACTCACTTATCGATCTCTAGTCACGATCGACCGCATGGAATTATAGCGCGAATTTTAAATGACGGTAGCACTCCCTTCATTATTACTAAATGTCACTTCAATGGTCTTTTAATGCCCCGCCACGCTATTTTCAAGCTTCTCTATTTTTACCGATAGTCTGTACAGAGCTTGATGGGCGGAAGGTAGTAGGAGAAATAGTGGCACGACTCTAGGAGGGGAAGGTCTAGTAAATAAGTAACCTACGAATGCGAGAACTGCTTCAGTCCGCGTTACAATTAGTTCGGTTCTCGTTAATCGTAAAGTATAGACAAAAAGGGAAATCTCTCTGGCGATGATCATCGCATTTTATTCCATTTATCGAAATATCGAAATTAATGAGATAAAAGACGAATAGTTTTGTTTTATTGTTAGTTGAAGGAATAAATTGTATCGTTCGCTCTTGTAATACTTCTATACTGAAGAAATGAAGAATAGTGGCGCAACTCTAGCTTTAATCATCCTGTTGAACACGTTTGTCAGCGATGTTGTTGCATCGTGCAGAAGGATCGCGAATGAGGAGATGTTGGAATACTTTTGCGAAAGTGGCCAGCCCAGCGATTTGATCACCATACCCGAGACAACCGAGAAACTGCGCATCACCAGGATGCACCTAGGCCGAATTACCGCCGATACATTTTCGAGATTCGGCGGGAATCTCTGGGTGTTGAGTTGCTTGTATTGCGAGATCACCGACATCGACCCGGACGCCTTTCGACAACTCATTAATCTTCAGCAACTCAGCTTAAATAATAATTATCTGACCACTGTGAAAGCATCATGGTTTGAGGGACTCGATTTCCTGACATATCTTGATCTCAACTACAATAATATACACGATATCGAGGACGATGTTTACAGGAATCTACCGAGTCTCATAGACCTTCGAGTCTCGGGTAATCAACTGCGCTGCTTGAATCTCAACGAAATGTCGTATCTGAAGGAATTGAAGCGCATCTTTCTCAGCGAGAATTCCAATTTTGCTTGTCCGCACGCCGTAAGTGAGTTTCTAGAAAAGCAAAACGTTGCTTTTGAGCCAGATCCCGAGTGGAGAAAACTCGCCAGCGACACGATCGATGTTCCGCCGAGCTACATGGAAGAAGATCATAGAACCTTGCATTCTGACGAGAGACCGGAGCAGCCGGAAATGCCCTATATACCTCCGACGAGAGATAGGATGTTTCATCAGGATCATTATGCGGAGCATCGTTACCGTCAGAGAAGACCAACTACTACTGTACGACCGACAACGTCCAGGCAAAACGAAATACCGCGAGTGGAGCCGAGATTTCCGCCTACAAGAACTTCTCCACCGGATTCATCCTCGCATCAAGTAATGATATGGAGACCTTCCGAATCTATCAGAATGATAGGAATCACTAACCAGGGACCACAAACGGAACATATCTCGATGTATCCGCAGCACGTTCTGACGTATGAAACGACGCCTTATCCGAAAGATTCCATTTTGGAGAGATTGCGAGCTGCAGAATCGTCTGCGGGATCCTCCGTAAAAGATAATCATGAAACAACAGTAAAATCCGATAGATTATCCCAGACGGGAACTACTTTAACGTATCCACTATACTTTGCAACGTCCAACGATTGGGACAGAATGACCCCTGGATCCATCGAAGTGTCGCATCACAGCGATTCCGACACGATTACTATCGACTCTTGGTCCACCGATCACTCGAACAGACATCCGGACTGGAGTAATAAGCAATCTTCCCCTCCGATCGGGAGCAGTGATGATAGATGGTTGCCAAACACATCGAATTATTCACATAAAATGATCGACGAATCATCGAACACCGGCAATATTCCAGTCGACAATGTTCCAGTTGATCAAGTGGATCGATCGGAGACTGCGACGATGATGTCCAACATACATTACGTCAGACCTTCGATAGTTTCATCTCCGGAATTGATATACTCACCTTCAAGCCCGGGAGAGTCTGGCGAGTCCCACCAAGGAACTCCCTATGAAGGAACGGCGCATCCGCCCTTATACAATTACGAGCTGTCAACTAACGATGATGTCACGACGACGGACAAGCCACTACCCGAGTGTCCGACTAGAAACTCGGCAAATTTCTCGAGAATCCGATCGTACATCATTGTATTAACGATGTCCCTTATTATCACTATCTTTGGACACGTCATCGCGGAGGGATTTTAAATCTCGTGCACGCCCCTCTTATCTCCAACCGGATCGGATTGAAACGAATTGTCACGTGAAATAAATTCCGAGTAATTAAATGTATCACACGAGAGAGAATCAGATTGACATTTTACCATACAACGAATAATGTAGTACATTCAAGCGTCGCGTTGTGCCACGAACTTGAGCGCGCATTTATGTGTATTTAGAGAGCATTAGAATTCTTCTCCCCCATATATATATATATATATATAGCTATCGAGTACCTGCTTAAGAAAGCTTTATAGAATATTATTAACCAGACGCATATCTATTATCAAAAGCGTGTTTCGAGACATCTTTTCTCTGAAATGGAACTGTTATTTTCCGGAAACGACGAAGCCAACTAAATCTCATGTGTAGGTATCGTGCGCTCAAGGAGCATAGAAACAAAAGTTTTCGTGTGCTTCAGTTTTTTTTATTTTTAATAGAGTTCATCTGTCATTATTTATACCAATTATTTTTGTAACTATTTATTATCATGTAAAATTTATTTTCGGTTAATTATAAAGTGGGCTCTTTAGAGAAGCAGAAGAAAACTTTTCATTTTTTTATAGCGAATTGATAGCGCATTTTTAATCTAGCATATGTATAATTATACATCAGTTTCTAAACAAAAAGGATTAAAAAATCAAGTTTAGGATTTTTTAAATTAAAATTTAATTTTAACTGACTAATTAAATAGTTGATGTAGAGGTTTTTAAATTTTATAATTAGTTTTCAGACTTGATAAAACTTTCATAACTTTTGATCAATTGACACGAATTGATCAAACTTTCATGTTAAATATATTCTATCTGGAGAAGATGAAAGAGCAAATTTCGAGTTGAATTTATCGGTTAAACTAAACTTGGCAAATCTTTGATGTACAATCGCGGTTTCTCAGAATTAACTCGAGACGCAGTAACATCTAAATATCCGAAATGTCCGCCAAGTAGGGAAGCCAATAGCACGGCGTGTCGAACCAAGGTTTTAATTGCGATCAACTGGCGGGGACGACCGGGCTCGTCGCCGTGGTAATGAAATAATTACTAATGTCATCGTCCAATCGCGCGGTCACGGGTATTACATAACGACCTTGTTACAACGCTCGGCTCGACATTGTATAAATGCACACGTTAAATATACACTAGAAGACATTCACACCGACTTTGCAGTCAAGTTCGCGCGTCGCAGCTTCTTCCGTCATTGCTCATGCAACAGGTGCATCTCGGCGACAGAGATCTCTCGCGTGGAGATGATCGCGAGTTGGCCTTGAATAACCATTGAAAGCCATTGAAAGCGTCCGTTATAATGAACAGCGGCTTTTATCTCGGTCTCCATCGAGCGCAGTCCATCTACACGCACATGTTTCTCTGGCCGCTTAGTCAATCACCATAAGATTCCACACCGATGACACGATGATCGTGTTTAATGCAACTTCGCGCCATCCGCGTTACGTTCGATGATCATCAGTTATTTAACGCGATTTCTTTAGGTTCGTGACGCTATTCCGATCAATATAGACCCCCAACTACACCGCAAGGTCACGAAAAACGTTTTCGCCTTCAACTTGCTCAGATATGTGTTGACTTTGGTGGTACTTGGCGCGTCATTTTATCTCAAAATACTTGCTCGAGAAAACACGCTTTTCCTCTCTCTTCTTTCGTATTTATGTTTGAATAATAACTATTTAAATGTAATCTCGAGATGCTACAACTTGGGAGATGATTCGTTAGATATTAAAATAGCTTTATACAAGAGAGAGAGAAAATTAATTTCGTACATTATTAAAAATGTATTGTGATCATTATTCATTATCATTATTGATATACAAATCAAATTCTCAATGTTAAAAAACTCGCTAGTAAATTAATTCAAGGTATAAATAATAATATGTAGAAACGACTCAAAACTAGCGCAAATTAATTCTTTATTATTCTTTATTAATTTTTCTATTAATTCTTTATTATTTTCTTTATTATTGATATACATACATTTCACTTAGAGATGCAACCGATTAAATAAATTGTATTTAATAGAGAAGATATTTATCTTATCTATATTTATTTTTTTATATTAAAAAAACTGATTAATTTGTTTTTTAAAAAGCACAGAAAACCGATGAACTTGCCTCATCTCGTGACTCAGTGCAGTCAAAATTTTGGGAAGCGTTGTGCAATGCACTAGCATTAGGCAGCCAGTTAGATTACTTGCCAAAAATTATAAATAACGGAATTTCTTCAGCGGCGGATTATGGAGTAGGTCACGCGCGATATGAACCATCATCGATGCTTGTGGATAGTCAATACCGCAAAGATTACCCGGAAAATTACAAAAATATTACGCTAAATTCTGAGAAAGATGTAGAAGATCTCCCAAATCGATATATCTGTGATAGTTAAAAAGAGAGAGGAAAAGGAAGATATCTGATGAACTTGACTCGCTTAGTTAATTTATTTATCAAAAACTCGTGATTTATGCATTCATTATTCATTGATATATGCTGAATCAACTTGTATCGATAATTTTTAAAATTTTTTTCTCCTATGATTTTATTAGCAATTTATAGTGAAGAATTTTTCTTAATAATATTACATTATTCTACAGGCTTACTAAACTTTGTTTAATTTTTATTGTTTCATTTTTCTCGTTTGCTTTTGAAAAATTTCTTTGCTCAAGAAAATAAGTTTAAAATAGTCAAAAACTGTAATACAATCTTTCAATGAGTTTTCACTAAATATTTACAAGTATAAAAATTTTAAACTTGTAATATTTTAGCAGAGATTAGAGCTAAAAAACAAAGTAGTATTAATCGCGGTTTTGATGACTACATATTTTTCCTCTAATATTATAATCTAAATTTTTTTTTATAAGCATAATGTCATGTCTCATCCTGCTATTTTAATTGGGTTTCTTGAAATAGAGAGGAGAATATTATTTTGAATAAACCTCTTGTTAGAACAGGGTGCCAATGTAAATGTTATTATAGACATATCATAACATATACTGCTAACTCAAGCATACACTGACACTGTCTTATAGGGTTCCAAGTCGTAAGTACTTATAAGCAATGCATATCGGACTGCTTCGGCCATTAATAAAATCGATGATCCTTCTTTTTTAACCTTTAACATTGCAAGGCACACTTGCTTCTCTCCACTTGAATATGAATCTTGCATGCGTCTAATAGTCTTGACGCAGATTTCGGAAATAGAATAATGCGTAGATCACGTTTTCGCTCTTATTACGAGCAGACTGTAATCAATCTCGTTAACAGGAATACGCTTATGCTTGAAGCATATCTAGTCTTAAAATCTATTCCTTCCTGCCACGAGTCTGGATTGAATTATCAATTTAGTTTAAACGTTCTTAGTCGGACGGCATAAACAGCCATTGGCTTTCGATGTTAATTGATTTGATTGACTTATCTGATTGCAGTGGGCAAAGGAAGCAGCGGAAGCTGAGCGTCTGGAAAAGATGCTGAAGATAGAGAACGAGGAAAATGCAACCGCGAACGATCTCGCACTAGTGATTCAAAATCGTAACAGGGCTCGCGCCAGTCAATCGGATAGTTTCTTCGACTCGTTGATTGAGAAGTACGCGAAGAACGCTGAGAAATCGACGAAAAAGAAGGCTTCGCCCGCAAAGACCACGAAGAAAACTAAAAAGAAGGCGTAGAGATAAATAAATCGAAATCTGTATGTCTTCGTTCTATCTTCAAATAAGTCTCAATTTCTTGTAATTTAAATCGCAAGGCACGGATTTGATATAGATTTCTATATAATGGACGGTTGTGTTTAGTTTTTCTAAGTATAAGTCCACTAAAGACTTTTAAGAAAATGCCAGTAAACTAAACAGTTTAATTTTCTAACTAACTGCTTAGTTTAACGTCATTAAATCGCGCCATTAAACGCGCGTCAATTAACCGCGCATAAACTGCGGTATAAAATAAAGCATTGTATTGAATCCAAACGTTTTTTTTAAATGTGCACAACAGTGTAGATACGAAATTGTTACTTATACAGTTTATATACAAATGCTATATTGCATTTTATGATAATGACACCTTAAAAAACTCCTTTATATATAGAAATTCTTGTAATTAATTTAAAATCTTATAGAATGTGTGAAATAATGAAATAGAAAAAATCTCCTTTTTAATATATTCCTTTGTAACTTCTTTAATCTAGCTTCTAGTTTTTTAATGATAAGAATAAAAACAAGAAGTGAATAAAATATAAATTATAAACAAAAATATATATTTTAATAATATAGATCCACACTACAATAAATACAAAACTGCTACAAGCATTATAAATATTTATTTTGAACTAAAGTGATTTATTATATGCAGTGGTTTTAAATATCGAAATTATATTTTCTCATTGTAGATAAAATTTATAATGCCGCTACCCCATTACAATTTAAAAAAAAATAGCAATAACGGCAGTAACAAATAAATTTTTTGTTATATTACTTTTCAATCCAGATTTATATTGATAAAACACAGTTTGCACGAATTTATATGAAATTAATTTATCTACAGAAAAACATCGAATTTTATTCTTATCAAAAAACTGATGAAATAGTTATTAAATCATTTTCAGCAGATTTAAAACTTTAAATTGTATTGCAAGATTTATCAGGTGACATTTTATTATATATTATCAAAAATTGTGAAAAACTTTTTACATTTGCAAAATCATCTATCGTACACATCAATCTAATATAGCATCAGCATTCTCTTTTCTCTTTTCTTCCTTTTAAACTTCTATTACTGCGACGACACTTTCACACACAAAATTTTTTAATCTTTTGGATAGAGTGAAAAATATATCGAAAGAAATAAATTCACTCCCAAATAGTTATTCTTTTACATTACTTTTTAATTTATTTACTTTCAGAAAAACAAAATAAAAATTCAAACTAAATAAGAATTGATTAATTTATTTTATCTCTTCAGATTCCACTCATAAATTACAAGAATAGAATTTGCAGTTTTACAAAATAAAATCTTTCTTCAAAATGGAATATATAAATTTCTCGTAAAATGAGATATTTATGAAATACATTCCGAATGCTTTTTATTAAGTTTTGATCAATGTTAATATTAATAATATAAAACATGTAACAAAAATTTTTATGAAAATTGTTTTATAAAAGTATTTTTTCATTCTCTTTTTCTCTCTGCAATTTAATCGAAATTTTATAAAACATATTTTTTCCATTTTGAAACTGAAATTGAATCGAAATTAAATCAGAGATTTTTGTTCGTAAATGCTGGCGCAAATTGTTTTGAAATTCAAAACTTTTCTATTAATAGAAAGTTAAATCAAAGCTTTCTTAGATATTCTAAGCGATTAATCATTGCACCATATACTGGCACTCTGCCAGTATTTGCCATCTTAAATGCGTTTGCAGACAACGCATATCCGTCTTTCGGACATTGATGGAATCGATAACCCTTCTTGTCAAAATTAACCTTTGCTACACTTGTACAGCTTGTTTCTCGTCATTGGAATCATATGTGTAAATATTGATAATCTTGAGTTTTAGGGCATGGAATGTTTTCAGAAGTAAAATTATGCATAGTGTATGTTTTTAACTTTAGACATAATTATGAAGTAATGATAATTACGTGCACATATACATATATTTTATATATATAAAAAATAATTTAGCAATATCTCAATATTTTTGTATAAAATAATAATCCTGGCTTAACTGATTAATATTTTAAAGTTTCACAAAAACGCTAAAATAGGTATATATATTTTAATCTTCATTTTATATATATAAAGAATGAAAAGTTTACACAAATATTTTGCTTTGTAACTGTTTCCCTTCAGGGCATTCAAATTTAGAAAATAAATTCGAAACTTCAATATTAATTTAATATTTGTTGAAAATATATAAAAAAGCTTGAAATAAAATTAAAAAATACCGCATGATTAAATAAAGCGAAATGTAATTATTACAACCATTTTTATCGTGCAATTTATGTGAATCACTTTTTACATTCTCTGCAACACTGCATTTAGTTTTTTTTTTCATTTATATCATGATGTAAACAGTTTATAGTTAACCAGCGTTTTTGAAGAATTTTATAATATTGCTAAATTATAAAATTTCTGTCTTACATAAAAATGTCCGTAAGCTGTACCTTATGTAAAAAGAAAAGTATTTTTATGCGAAAATTACATATCGGTATTATCAAGAAAAAGATTATATGCAACAAATTTTATAAAAGAAAAATTATAAAAATTTTTGTAACTTGTATATATTGTGTGTAAAAAGAGATTGCGCCAAAAGTATTTTCTCGTTTTATGAGTGAACCTGATTTATCGATATAAGGCAAGATGAAATGATCTATAAAATATACTCTTATGATCAATAATGCTTCTCTCATTTTTTGAAAATGATATATACGCAAACTATAACACAACAGTATGTAAACAATATTTTATTAAATTATTAAATTAATTATATGTAATTTAGATAGGTTTTATTAAATATTTCGTATAATATTCAGAAATTACGTGACAAGTTTTAATCATATCATTAATATTTACAAATAATTATGTAAAATTTTGATACATTGCGTATCAATTACATGTTTATAATTATTTATTTTATCTCTACCAACAACAAAGTAGCAAAATTAATTAAATATTAGAAATATTTGAAGAATACATATTTTTTTTCAATCTACACGCCCAAGTTCTCCCAATATGCTTATGGAATCACCTTAACGTCATCGATAACGAGCATGGGCGGTATATTGGTCATTGTTAGTCATACAATTTGTGAAAGGTGAGAAGAGGGAGAAAAACAGGGATGGCAAGGGATAGAGAAAGAGAGGGTAATCTCTCGCCAGGACACCTACTCTCCTGCTTTCGCGAGTCTTGTGTTTGATGGCTCGAGATGGTGGCACGACTACGATGTTGTGGTATGTACTTTCCAATCGGTGTTGGTAGAGATGGTATGTACACTGAGCATCATGAGAGTGGCCGCCTCGTATGGTCAGTCTCATGTTACGTCTGGACTGGCTGGAGCGACAACACAGTATACATCGGGTGACACAATTTCCAAAGGCAAAGCGTTCCCTTTTGTTAATTTTTTCTTTAGGGGCTCTCATTTCCGTTATTTCTATTATTTTTAAATTTATTATATTTCCCAATACATCTTACAATCTATTATTGTATCATACAATTGAAAAAGTGATGATTTTATGTCGAAAATGTGAAGTATAATTTATTCGAAAGTATTTTCCAATATTTCTAATAATTTAACAAAAAATATCCTATTTTAACAAAAATTTTGTCGCATCGAAACAATAATCTTGTATTTAATCAAACACGTTTAAACAATGACTCATTTTTAATAGCAAAAAGAATCTTTTAACGCAACAAATGTGTGATTATTATTGATTGTATACTTTATTACAGTTTCAATGAGTCTTCTGATATGGAGTAAATGTCTATGAGAAACACGTGAACTTCTCGTTTCGAATGAGACACCCGTTGTGCACGAGATCGACGCACACTTTGACGAAATCACGTACGTGTAACCGTCTTATTATGGATATGTGGTGCAAACATAGGTACAGCAAAGTGTAAACCATTATTATTTTTAGCTAGACATGTAATAGGAGGTTGGATTGGAGTTTACCAAAGGACAGAGTAACACAATAGCCGCGGCGTAACTGGCATCATATTTTTTTTTCGCCACGTTAAATAGCAATTATATCACGACCTGTTGGCGATTGTGTGACGGGCATTCCCACAGAGTTATACGCAACATTTAAAGCGCGTTCGTAATCGAATAAAATGGATGAGTCATATCGAGCGCGGGAGAACAAACGCGCATTTCGCCATATTATGAAACGACCCGTGATCGAAGAAGAGCCTCGGGAATTTCTAAGCCGCAACGAATATCTTACTGTATTTAATTGCATCTCGTTCCACGTGTAGGTCTTTAATTAATTTATGAAACGATAAATCTACACATCAGATTGGGACGAACAAAGTCTAAGATGACGTTTGACATTTGACGAGATCCTTTCGATCTCGCTGGTTTAAAGGAAAAAAGCGTGTTTTACGACTCGCGGTTATCTTTATTTAACGTTAATTAGGAATTGTGGGTATATCGAACGTAAAGAAAAGAATAAAGAAGGATTGATGTACCGCATTTTATTGGGAATGCAACGACGGAACGTAACGTGCTGTCGGAAAGACCGACTCGTAAATCATCGCAGCGCGTGCGGCTTGAACGGGGAATTTCCCCTTTTTTCACACTCTTGTCATTTAAACCGCAGAAATGGAAAACGCGCGATCGCCGCGTGGCATTTAGACGGCGGTTAAGCTCGTAAAACTGTAACCTATTTCCGCTTGCAACCGCACCACTATCTACCTCTCGGCTAATGCATCGGTAATGTGCATCTCGTTAAATGCATGCGGAGAGAGCAAAGGGAGAAGGTGGCAACGTGCACTTTAGCCTAGGACATGCTTCTATCTCCCCGATCTTTCCGGAATCGTCATTAAGATACGCCGTATACCGCGTCTCTCCCTCCCATGGACCGAACACGGGATGAGAAGAAGCCTCGTGGAGAAAAACGAAGGAGCGCACGATGGCCCTAGACATTGGGGGACCGCATTTGCGCTTTGGGGCCCTATTCTTGAAATCGTGCGAAAAATTATCGTATGCGCGAAAGTGACACGCTGCGCGATCTTCTCGATTGGTGTATACTCTTAGATCTAAAAATAAACACCAATCGAAGATCGCGCAGCGTCACTTTCGCATACGATAATTTTTCGCACGATTTCAAGAATAGATCCCCTGCTCTATTTCCAATCTCCTCTCCTCTCCGCGAATCGTACCGAGAGACGCGGCGCACATACCGCGGGATTCATCCCCATTGAATTGGAGACGGGGAGGAAAGCGAAGGGGGAAATTAACGGCGGGGATGCATCGGCGTGATAGAGAGCGAGAGAAGACACTGTTGCACGAGGGACAACGGAGAGACCGACGAGAGACCGACGAGAGACCGGTGGTTGTATAGCCGAGACGGTAGTGGAGGCGAAGGAGAGGATGATGGAGGAACCGCGCTGGTGGAGGAGAAGGGGAGAGCGACATTCCAGAAGGCGGCGGCGGCGGTGGTTCTCGTGGGAAACCAAAGAGAGAGAGAGGAGAGAGATCTCGTCCCGGGGTGGAGAGGAGAAGTTTGTGCGCGGGCCTTAAGGCATCGTTCTCATCTCCGGACGTGTGACAAGATCACGGAGAGGCTTCTGCCGAAGAGTCGCCGCGCGCGAAAGTCCCCGAATTTATAAACCCATTCGCGAAAGCGACCGTGGACGTGCCATTTTCTCTCGCTATCAAATCTCTAATCTCTGCTATTCTCTCTTCATTCGCACGATCCGTGAATAGCTCCGAGATTAATCTTCGTATTAATTTAGACGCACTTTCATACAAGAGTTGATGCAAATGAATAAATATTCAAATCCGCGCGACTCGAATTTTAAAATGAAAAGTAGTATGTTTTAATTACGTACAAATTTGTAAAAGCTAATCTTTATCAATCGAAGCATCTTATATTGTTTTAAAAATCAACAAGTCCACAATTCTATTAAATAACATTATATTTTATACGCAAGTTAAATATATATATTCATCAAAAATTAATATTAATTTTAACTTTCTCGAAATAGCTATAATTTCTTTACAAAGTGAATCGATTCTTAATTATCTTCAAGGAAAGCTTACAATAAAAATGTTGCTTTAAAATGAAAAAATACAATACTATTGAATTAATCGACTATTGAATACATGAAACAATGGAAAATTGAACAAATAAATGTATGTATTATTCGCAAAACCACCATCGACAACAATATTTAAGAGGTGCACCGATGCAAATGATTAGAAGGTAATGACGTTAAATCTATTTGTAGCAATAGAGACGATGATGAAACACATGAACTTTCACCCGTGTCTTTTGTTTAGTTTCACGTGAGCACGTTTGCTGCATCATATACTCACGGCGTATCATTGCAACAATGCGTAATTCGATTACCGCGCTATTGCTAATATTGATAACCCATACGGTTGCGATAAAAAAAATCGCCCCTTATAAAGAAACGCTTAGCGATGGCAAATCTGGTAACAATAATCCCAACTGTAATCCAATGACGAGAGATTCCTCGCAAAAAGCACAACAAAAAGCGAAGCAGATATTAATTTCATCGCTCCCCCGATATTGTTCGATCAGCGATATTTTCTTTTCCTTCATCGATGTGTTAAGAGACTCTTATTTGTGGAGCGCGACGCGATTTAGCATAAAGGGACACACCAGGACGGGACCTGCTACAAGGGCCCTGTGAGTCGGCTCTTAGGGCGAATCCACGCGAGGTCTCTACTGCAACTGCTTCCCAGTCGAACCAACGAGTCAAGAAGAGATAATGGCATGTTCACGAGGCGTCGAATCATTACTAACAATCACATTCTGTATCTTGCGAAAAGGATCATCCCGTAGTCGTAGGAAGAGGCGAAGAATTCCCCTCTCCGTATAATTTTTTGTCACCGAAAAACATACGAAAAATAACACATCAACAAATCTCGTCAGTATTTCGTTTAATTTAAGTAATTTCGAAATCATTTAAATGAAGATAAAATAGAATATATAAATATATCCTAAATAAATAAAAAATAAGCATGTAGATCAAACTCATTAATTATTATCTCAAATAATTTGGAAAGGATAATTTTTCTTTTATCTAATATAAAAATAAAGATAATATTTATTTTGATAATTTAAATAAAAAGAAGATGACAATCGTTTCGATTATTTGTATATTTTCATTTAGATAGGAGAAGATACTAATTCTATTCATTTTCTTTAGATGATTTGTTTTACTGTAATTTTTCTACTTCTTTTTAATCATATTATCAGCATCATTTAATCATTATATCAGCAATAATATTTTTCGTTTTGTTATATATATATATATATATATATATATATATATATATATATTTTATAAAACTACAACGTAACTAATCATTGTAAAAGTATTGACGGTTAAAGATATATGTACTTTGCTCATCGATCACATCAACGCGAGTGGAAGCATTACTCGCAAAACAAGTTTCAAGAAAACTTTCGTATTTACCTATATATCTTACTCATATTTTCCACGCGAGAAATTGTCCGTTCGCAAACACGCATATATATGCAATTTGCTTGAATTTCCGTCAACAATTCTCTTATCGTCAAATACGCGACGAGACTTCCTTTACACATGACAAGAAGCAATAAAGCGCTCATTATGAATTATTGTTATTATTATTATCACAAGTGTTGTAAGTCAACGCGAGTATAATAAACGACTATGTCATCGTCGCTGACATGCGTTGCGATGACACGCAAACAGCTGATCTCTCGTTTAAAGATAGCATAACCAGCGTGGAGCGAGAAATCAGACAGAAATCTTCAACAGCGCATGGCAAGAGAATCTGAATTTGAACGATTTTATTTTCTCGAAAGAGCCACTCGACACAAAACTTGCGAACTCGACAAACGTTACATCCCGTGGATATCCCGAAATTACAAAGATTCTCCGATCGACAAGATGACGCGTTACAAACGTCCCGAGAAACACCCTGTATAAGGGTATGAGGAAAGGTGAGGGAGGGGAGGAGAGGAGAGCGGACACGCCAGCGAGATGAGAAAAAAAAGGAGGGAAGAAGGTGGAGAGTTAATTGAATCCGAGCAGCGTATAAGTGGAATAGCCTATTCCTCCTTTGGCTCGCTCCTCTTATTCTTCTTTCTTCCCGCGTACCTCTCCTCCCTCACCATCCCCTCGTGTCAGCCCTCCCCCACGGCTCCTCGCGCCGTCCTTCGCAGCTCCTTGTACCCTCTTCGGTCAGGGTACCAAGGAGGATCGGTGGAAGGACGCCAAAGAGGTTCCGGAGAGAGAAAAAGAAAGAGAGAGAGAGAGAGAGAGGGAGAGGGAGAAGGAAGCATTCCTTTGTCTCTGCGCGCACGGATCTAGATCATATGTAGCATATAATGTGCAGAGGCAAGAGCGAGTACAGACGCGTGATATGCGTGTGGACGCCCGTGTGGCATATGTGAAACAACGCACGGACGTTGCACGTGCGCTTTCAAAGGGTCCTGCCGCGATATTCCCTCCGGCCATCCCGAGGCGGTTCTTGTCTCGGACGATATACTCGGTATGAGTTACGTCCGCGTTAATTCGATTTGCCTCGCGTACGTTATATCCACGGCTACAATTATCATCCGAGAGAGCTTGAGAGAAGCCGAGAAAGAGAAAGAGAGAGGGAGAGATTTCTTTTCTCATGGTACACAGATTTATCAAATCCCTTTAATACGAAGCTGATTGTTGAGGATATTGTCTCTAATATATCCAAAGATTATTGTGAAAAATTTAATACATTTTTTCAGGTCGCCGAACTTTGTCATCAGCGTTGACAAGGATAGGACACGTGCCAGCCGCCAACGGCCGCTCGTTGACACCCCTCGCAATGCGCCGGGTGTATTTGCGTACCCCAAAATAGCTCCGGTCCTCCCTGAAGACGGCGGGAGAGAATGGCGGAGAGAAGACCGAGCGAGGAAGACGAAGAGAGGGAGGGAAGAGAACGGACGACACGGTGTATACCGCAAAACCAGTTCGTTGGTGAGTAAACAAAAAACGAGAAGGGGCCAACGCCGCGCGGCGCGGCCTCGTTGTCCGTTGCGAAGGGGGAGAGAATCGCTGCTTTATTGCTAATTCGAAGACATTCGCCCGGCAGAAATGAAACTTTATAGTCCGCCCGCAGGCCAGGAGGAACCCTACGCCAAGACTGTGTGACCCACGTGGTCTAAAACAGCCACGGTCCTAGTCTGATGAAGAGGAATCTTGCGAAATAAAAATAAAGCATGCACATCGCAAGACCAGTCTGCGATTATGGAATCATTGAAGCTTTACAGTAAGGCTGGCAAGAGCCAACGTATTGAGATCTTAGACATTTCCAATGCCATGTCCGAGATTTCTTAGAAAAATGCCTGGTTAATACGAAGCGTGGCACAGTAGACAGCACACACTGAGAAAAATCGTTTGATTGTACCAAGACGTATATGATTGAAGGCATTTTGGTTAAATCAAACAAGAATTTCTAGTTATCATGATAAGACTCGATTTTTTATAACTAGAACGTTTAATAGATTTTACTATAAGGATTTGGTTAGTATTTTCTGGTTGAATCTATCAAATTTCTTGTTGCATTAACTTCTTTGCTTGCTTCTTAATTTAACTCGTATTCAATATTTGCCATGAAATATATATAAAGAATTAGTATTAACGTTAAGTTCAAAGTATTTTTTTTTCTCTTACGAGCAGTAGGGCCAGAAAGAGGACGCTAGCTCTCTGATTGTGGGTGTTTGAGCTGCATCCTCTTCTTGCATCACTGTTTATCAGTTTAATTTCTAACAAACTAAACTTAAAATAATTTATTCAATAATCTGGATTGAATTTATCCAATAATCTTGTTGAAATTCAGAATATTAAACAGACTTTTGAGATTAGATGGAAAAAATTTTAGACGACTTGGTGCTGGCAAGTTTAGTATTATTAACCAAAATATTTGGTAAATTTAACAGGAAGAAATT